GCTGGCGCTACTTATATTTTTGCATAGAAAATAATCCAACCTCAGTTATATCTTATTTTGAGCTGATACTCCAATCACTTTTCCACTGATGAAGTTTAATTTGGAAAAGAATTTGTTGCCTAGCCCATGCAAAAGTTCGTGGTCATACAGATCATTCACACAGTTCTTTGCTCTTGAATGCGACACGCGCTGATTGCTGTTACTCACGGAGGCATCCGGCACGTCATCCTCTGAGTCGCTGCCTTCTTTCTGTTCTAGTCGGTTCTCTAAAATTTTACTGACGATTTCATCTTCAACAGTTGTCAGATCTGAGGTACATTCCACATCGTTGTCAATGGCGACGAACTCTACTGCATTGATGACTGGGATTGTGCAAGCACAGATCTCGTCCTCAGCGATGACGGCGTCATCAGAAAGTGCATCGGATGCCAGTCGACTGAAGTCAGCATGCCGAAAGCAAGCTTTTATTGTTGCACCGGTAACCTGTCTCCAACTTTTTGAAACGAACTGAATTGCATCGAGCACAGAAATCTTGGCGCTGACATCCACTCCGACGATGAGCCAGATAACACGTTGTTTTCGATGTGATAAAGAATTCGGTCCACAATTTCCTTTCTGTAACGGATTTTCAGATTCATAATCACACCTTGGTCCATGGGTTGAAGAATGCTGGTCGTGTTTGCCGGCAAAAATTCCATTTGATGTTTTTCAGGCCTTCTACCTGTGGATGCGCTGTGCAATTATCCAAGAGCAACATAATTTTTCGGCCACTTTGGCCTAGCTCCTTGTCCCATTCGAGGACCCACTCAGTGAAAAATTCCTTCGTCATCCACGCATTTTTGTTAGCTCTGTAAGTTACGAGAAGTGTGTCCACGTTCACGCCATTAAAATATAGTGGTTTCTTAATTTTTCCAAGCAAAACTAGTTTCTTTTATCCGTGCCTGACATATTCGCGCAGCACAGGAGAGTGATCCTATCCATGGTTTTTTCGATACGCTGAGCTTGTCGGCAGAAAACACAGAAGCCTCTGGAGATGCTCGGTAAAAAAAAAGACGTTTCGTCTGCATTTTGCACGTTGTCATCATCAAATGCATTTAAAAGTCGACCTTTCAGCCAATTTCCACAGACTGCTCTGTCCACTGAACTCTTTTCAGCATGCACACGTTTATACACAATTTGATTTCTATTCTTCCATCTTTGCAACCATGCTTCTGTGGCAGCAAAGGCTGTGCAACACTTTACCCGAATCCTACTGCCTTTTTCTTCAGAAGCGGATCTGTAACTGTTTGGTTGTGCTCACGAACCGATATCATCCAGTCTTTCAATGCAGTTTCGACTTTGTCATCCTTGCCACATCACTTCCTTTTATGAGAGCTTGCAGTATCATGCGACAAATTCCGCCGGAGTTCGCTTTCGCTGGCAATCTACCTGGACAGCGTACGACGAGAAAGGTGTAAATCACGCGACAGTTTGGCCTGCGAGGTTCCTGGTGGCCAAATTTTAATTTTGTCCAAAACGTCCAACTTTTCTGTCAAGGACAAATCCTTTCTGTTATTGGCCATACTTGTATGTAACCTATAGAGTATTGTGCTACCACTGTACAAGGGCAAAGGGAGCAAGCAATGTTGCACGATTTATCGTGGCATCAACTTGCTGAGTTGTGTGAGCCCGGTGATTGCTCGAATCCTGCTCAACCGCCTCGTCAGTCAGGCTGTGGAAACGAACGTGGCGGAAGAGCAGTGTGGATTCCGTTCGGGTCTCAGCACTATAGATATGGTGTTTGCGGCTCGTCAGTTGCAGGAGAAGTGTAGAAAAAGACACCAGCCGTTCTACTCGCTTTTTGTTGATTTCACCAAAGCATTTGATACGGTTAACCGCGAGGCATTGTGGCTGGTGTTGGGTAAGTTTGGTTGCCCGCGTAAGTTTGTAAGTTTAATTGAATGTCTGCACAGTGGTATGCGGGCGAGTGTGCAGCTGAGTGGAGAGACCTCGGATGACTTTGCAGTTGTCTCTGGTGTGAAGCAAGGCTGTGTCTTAGCTCCTGCCCTGTTTAATATTTATCTTCATGCAATGATGTCTGTGCTTTTGATGCGGCTTGTGCTTACGGTGTTCGTGTGGAGCACCGTATTGATGGTGGGTTGCTGAATAACCGTCGTTTTTGATGCGAGAACTCTAGTCTGTGAGACAACTATCCGTATGTTGCTGTTTGCTGACGACTGTGCGTTGTTTGCACACAGCGCGGATGAGTTGCAGCACATGACTAGTGCTCTGGCTTCGACAGCGGCCAAATTCGGGCTCACCATCAACACAAGCAAAACTGTCTGTCTCTTTCAGCCTTCACCGGAGGTGCAATCTTCAATATTGCCGCGAATCAGCATTGGTGCTGAAGTATTGGAAACCACCTCCCGCTTCTGCTACCTTGGGAGTGTGATGTCGACTGATCAGCAGCTACACAGTGAGCTTTATATCCGCGTGTCGAAGGCAGCGGCGGCATTCGGGAAGCTAGAGTACCGAGTGTGGAACAACCATCAGCTTACCGTTGGCACGAAGCTGATGGTGTACAAATCCATGGTGCTGTCCGTTCTTCTATACGGCAGTGAAACGTGGACGATGTACCGGCGGATGTGCGATATCTCGAGCGGTTCCATCAACAGTGTTTGCGACGGATTCTGCGCATCGGTTGGTGCGACAGAGTTGCGGACACGGAAGTGTTGCGCCGAAGTGGAATGTATGCAGTGGACTGCATACTTTTGCTGAGACACCTGAGGTGGCTCGGTCATGTGAGCCGTATGGATTCGACGCGGATACCGAAACAACTATTATATGGTCAGCTGAGTATTGGGAAGCGGCATGTGGGGAAACCGAAGTTACGTTACCAGGACATGATCAAAGTGAGCCTCTCACGTTCTAATCTTGATTGCAGGTCATGGGAATCGAAGGCGGTTGATCGGCGTGCATGGCGCGATCTGATCACGAAGGCAGTTGCCGAAGTGCAGGAGAAAGACCTCATGCATGCAGAGAAGAAGCGACAATTGCGAAAGCGATAGGCGCCGATGGGTTGTACTCCATCGACATCGAGCGCATGGTGCTGTAGCACATGCGGTCGCGAGTGCCTGAGTCAGGCAGGCCTAGTGAGCCATAAGCGAGGCCACTCGGGACCACCACCGAAGCGACGACGGGTCCTGCAGAGAACGTAGGCAGAACCGGCGCAGCGTTTGTAGGTACGCTGCATTCGATTTACTAACCGCGTGCTTGCATGGTTGGTCTCTTTATTTCAGGTGGTGTGTTTGCAATTTGTCCTAATGCTTTTCTTTCTCATATTAATGTCTACCTGATCAATCTTCTTTATACTTGAACACGTTGCTGAAGGTAATTGTAGTTAACTTCGATAACATTTTTGCCTTTGTGGCATTTTCTTAAAATATATTTTTGACGTTTTGAATTTATCGCGGATTTGTTCGTAATCAGTTTATTTTATACGCTCATTTAGTGAAGAGTTATGTCACCGTATCTGTATGCATTATCCGATTTATTTTATTTGATATCGTCGTCTCAAGTGGTTGGCTGTTGCTTGATATCCCCGGTGTGGCTGCGCTTGATGTGCATGTTGACAAGGTGCCTACCTGTCTATTACCCACTACCTCGTCCATACTGGCTCCAGGAAACAGTTGATCGTTGCTGGAGTGGACGGGGTGCACGGTCCTTGTGGTCGTGCTAGGCTCGAAGAGTGGTTCCATGCACTCAGTGTGGAGCGGACTACGGTCCAGCCACCGCCTTGTGTGCAGTTGATTCCTGAAACACAGCGTGCTTGTGTTTGCCTGTGAAACACTGTGGACCGGCTGCATTGATGAAACGTGGCTCCCATCATATGTTTTCCGATCTTAATCATTCAGGTTTACATTGGATATGGAATGCGTGGGTGGTGCAACGCAAGCGACCCATGGTCCCTGTGTAGGCACATGCATCCTGTGGCTGGCCACAGTGACAGACGAATTCAAAGCCCCACACCCCACACCACTGACAAATGTAGAGCGGTAAGAATACCCGATTTTGCTCAGTTATCGAGTTTTGTATAGGGCCGAGGGCTTGTCCTCAACCGTCCGTACATTTAGCTTGTTCGTGTATTGAATGAGGTTAGGAACCTTTTTCGGTCTGTCCATAATGCCGCGGACACCTGTTGTTCTTGACTCGATCGTCTGTTAGCTGTGTGGTAATCGTAATAAAAGATACCCGGAGTGGTGGGGTGACCCCGACAAGGGGCAATTAGACGGTGAAAACTTAGCATTCCAGAAAAGCATTTATATTTTGTATAACTGGGCAATAAAGCGGGATGGGCTGTAAACCGGGTTCTACTTTATCTTCGTAAATGTATGTTCGCGATAACGAAGTTTTTACTGTACTACGGACAACGGGAGCGCAAGGGACGTTGAGTTTCTGTGTAGACTTCCATATGTTGATCACTTTGGTCTAATCCCTTGAGTTGTCAGCTTACAGAGGCTTTATAGGAGTCTCGTATTCCCTGCGATGATGAGCACTATCAGTTTGCTATTACACCGATTTACGTATTCATTGCAGTGCTTTGTTGACTTCACGGGAGTCGTTCATCTTCTCCCCCTTCATTCCGAATGAGTTGTATCCACTTGCTGCCGCAACCGGTTCAACTATGTTCATTACAATTATTGACCGTTTCTCTTTTTAATGATTCACACTTTTACTGCAACATTTCCTGCCAGTTTTTTGCATTCGGAAGCGTAGTTATAACGATTTTTTTCCATTTCTTCTCTAAGCTATTGTTTGTTCCTCAAAGTATTTCTTACCCACTCGCTTATGCCGTCATCTGCCAAATCCTCAATGATTTGATCATGACATGATAAGTCATCTGTGAATCCATCAACCATGTTTCCATAGTAAATGTCTCGTTACACCAACATATGCGCAGCTGTGGCAGCCGCCGTTATTTTACTCAATCACACGATTAATGCGCTTCTGTTGTTCTCCAGACAACACTGAATGCCGTTCTACGGGGGCCCAATCCTCCGTTCATGGACCGAAGATTGGCAAATGTCAGGCTGTGGTTAAAATCACTCACACCAAGTGAGCGTATGAAGGTAGTTCGGCACTGTTTACTTCAACTTCAATGCAACGACGATGAAACAGCTTTCCAAGCCCCAGGTATTTTGTCCGCCAACATCCTGGCGAATATCACCGACAAACTCAGTAGAATGATGCCGAAGGACGTCCGTGCAGAGATGGCTTCTTCCGAAAGCCACCAGCTGAAATCCATCACAGTGGATCAGGAGGTACCTAAGGTCGGTTTACACATTCATATCTTTATTAATATGCATTCATGATCGATGTATTGCGGTTGTAGATGCTAGGTTGCATTTTCATCAGTTTGGTTGACGCTCTAAAGCATCTCCGGTCCCCGAATCGGTAGATCGGTCGTATTCCTTTTGTGCTCTTCTCTTAGCAACAAAATTTGTGTAATCATGATCCGCTCGAATTCGTTGGATACGGAACGTCCGTTTATTTAAATGATTGTGTGTGGCTCTGCTTAACTATAACTCTTCCCCACTAAACTTCTTTGCACTTTTCCTTACGAGCTTGTTACAAGTTGCCTAATTCTAGTATATGTGAACTGTTATTTTATCTTCGGGTACTTGCGCGACTGCAACATTTGTTCGGTTAGGTTGATGACATGTTTTTAACCATGTTAGTGTCTCAGCTCTCCCACCTGAGTACTAATTTGCGCGGCCTGTGATGGATTTTCGTGTTCCAAGGCCGTCTTGTGAGCTCGCGATCATTGCATGTTTGGAAGCGTACTCGCGCTGTTACCCAAACCGTTTCCACTTTGTCTAGCGCTTCTCAAGTGCTAAACGGCTGATGCATTGTTACTACCAACGTCCAGATACTTATTTAGTTCTCATTGTTAGCCTCGCCATCATGCAGTAACGTGGTTTTTCTCATTAGTTTGTGTCAACGCAGTAGATAGCAATGTATTTGTTTATGACGTATATGTACCTGCCAAAGTAGTGTCGCTTTCCTCCTATTCTGTTAACGGGTCTACATATACATTGCATCTTGTTGCAACTGTATCACTCGTAGTGTGTTGTTTTCGCTGCTACCGGTGTGTTTTCCTCTAGTTTTCCCACACTATCTGCTTTCCGTCCATGTGGCCGCAACACCGTGCATTTTCATACGATGCTCCGTGGCAGCAGACTTTAGTGCACCGTTTGATCCGTCATGCCGGGCTGTCGTTTTCTGTCAGCGGCACCAGATTATCTTTGATGTCGATGGGACTGCTATCAAGGCCCATCAGGTACGTTTGTCGTACTCATTTGCCAGTTTTCCCATGAAAACCGGGGATCTTTTCTACTTCTTTCGCATCGTCAGTTTGACCCTCCTCTGTTTACTCTTTGCTCATCGTCATTCACGACTTTCTCTTTCGGCCACAGCAGCTTGGAGATATCCGCACTCCAATCTCCAAAGGTCGGCGGTCGACTGTACCCACAGCAAGCGATTTTACATTTTTTCATGGTCCGTGTGCAGAACGACAGAAGGCATCACTTGACCTCTCTCCAGATGATGTTGCCTGTGCTCTTTCGCATGTGGGAAACAAAAATCCTGCATGGTTGGAGGTCAGTGAATACATTTTCATTTCTACAATGTGGTCCCCACTTTTCCTCTCTCATCTTTTCTTCCGTTCGCATTCTAGACGGAGTATCTCACTCGTCTGTCCTCGCGATTACCCGGACATATTATTTCGAACACTTCATCGGATGCCATTGAAGGAGCCAGCTTTCGTTTGTATCGCCGGCTCTCTTCTTTCCCAAATTTTCATAAAACGAAGACTCTCAGCTGGACCATGGGTACATCCCAGTCGGTTGATGAGGCTGAGCCCGCAATTGATGAAACCGAATTGGCTCTTCTTCGTGCGTCCTATTGCATGGAACCTCACTCAAGCATTACCAGGGAGCCGTCGATATTTCGCGAGCTACTAATGGATGAGCGGTCTCGTATACCACAACATGGTAGTACTCCAGACCGGGTTCCAGTATTTTCCATGGCGTATGACGTAAGCTTTTTCTTGTGACCATGCTCGCTTCATATATCTGTCGATTACCACCATCCGTTTGCGGCTCCTTTCATTGCTCTTGTATGCGTTCTTTAATATGTGGACAGCACTTTAGAGCCCTTCCACTTACTCTCTTTGACCGAGTATCCCAGCAACTTGTTTCACTCTATGCTGCTCTCTCCGATGATGGTCAATTCTACCATTCCATGCATCGATAGTCGCGTAATCTGATCCTTCTAGACCTTCAGATACCGACCCTGGAAGCGTAAGCATCGAAGCCCTCCTCTTTGACAGCGATCGCGCGCTTCTCCATACTTGATTGAAGTGTTGCTGACATATATTCCCACATCGGGGTGACCGTTTAACATTGTGAGAGATGGAGCAAAAGCGAGCGGTCCGCCGCGGGCGACATATGACAAAGACGGCATTTTTAATACCGTTGATTCTTTGAAAACAAACAAAGGACAAAATTTTCAGTTAATTTGTTTGCATCTATTAATGGTACTCTATATGATCAACAACACCTTTGTGCCATGTGTTCTACCTTTGTAAACTTTCTTCCCGGTGACCCCCTTACTTGTGCTATTGTGGTCACTTTCACCACATCTGCCTCAGTGTCCCAAACGATCATCCATCTCGTAGAAGACATATGTGCATTTTACGTTGGGCCCATTATGTGGCCTTCACGCACCTACTCTGCCCTCATTCAGAGCGGACATTTTGCCACTCGTCCGGGCGGCAAAACTAGTTGCTATGCCACTGATTCCAGCCAAAGAATCCACTTAAAACTCCGATCGATCCTATCACAATGAAACATGTATCTCTTGCGCTATGGAAGTGTCTTTACCTCCTCGGTATTCATCTACTACTTGATCGTATGGTTGTTCTCAAACGCACGGCGTTGTGATCTGGAAGCTTTCTTTTATCTCCATGGCGGCACCTGTTCAGATTAGGATTCTAACAGTGCTGTACCTCTCTCAACCGAGCGTTAAAACCAAGAAGTTTTCAGAGTTTGGAGGCGACCGTCTATCTGCCCCATTGTTATTCATATTGGCCTGAACAGGCGTAGCAGCTATAAAGTTTACTTCCCAGCTTTGTGCGCGATACGTACAAAGACAATCCCTTAATAATAACAATAACAATAATAATAATAATAGGCTATAGAATTGAAGGCTGGTTGCTCAAATTGTTCAGATGGCGGATAATAATAATAACAATAAATAATAATAATAATAATGCGTATTCTCGGGTTTACCCGACATGCCCCTTTCCATATGATCGCATTTTTACAGTTGTTTCATATAATATTTGCGGCATATTCCAATTGTGTAGCAGAAATAAAATTCGTGTTTTTAACATCCACGTTTGTCTAGTTCAATGCCTTGAATAAGCATAGAATAATTCATGGCGTCCTGATGGAGAGCTCCGTATACGGACGGAACTAAGTTTGCTTTTCCTTAGATAAAAGATGATTAGCAACTATATACTGATTGAAGAAACATTAAAACTGAAACAATACTTATGGAATAAATTTTGGCTAAAAATTTTCTCTACATTATGTTCTAAAAAGTGGAAAACGGAGGTATTTCCTTACTTTTCAGTTCAGCGGCTCTACATACAGGCTGCGAAAGGTAGAATGGGAGACTTATTTGTTGTATGTGAGGCACACATGGTTGGCATTGGTCAACTGGCTGGAAGCCGAATCGATTGGCTTCACCTTGCTGCCTGACATGTTTACATGGGGGCAACAATGGAAGCTTAGCCGAGTGAGAGAATATCGGATGATAAAACTGAATGAAGATGGATAGATTCAGTCAGCGTTTCCTTGTCAGCTCACACTTTTTGCTATGGTTATAGCGTTGGCTTGGCCGAGTAACCAGAATATGAAGAGTGAAGACAAAAATTTGGAATCATAATCTCAGTTTGCAATTCCTCTGCAATCCACATTTTTCGGGGTGTCTGTTAAGTATGCTTTCCTGAGTAGAGATGGAAAGAGGATCGGGTAAGGAAGGGTGAAGTGCATTTTATCAACTTTCGTCTTTCTTTAATGCATCTCGTCAGGAAGGCTAAGTAAATACTCTGTACGTAGCACAGTTTTTGCATATTTGGCCCCCACAAATAGCATTTTTTTCATCGCAATTTATTTTCAACATTGTTTTTACATATTAGACTTTCAGGCAGTTTGAAACTTCTCCTTTAAACACTGGTTGCGATTCGCATGCTCGTAGTTCAATAGGGATGCTGTCCCAGATCTCTGAGTATCTGTATAGGTAGAACTTTCTTCGAATCTGAGTTTTCCTTTTGAGCAGTGGGAGTGAGTTCTTGGTGTTCTTAATTGCGTATCTATATTCTGGTTTGAAGTAAACAGTGATATTTGGTTCGAGTGCACGCTTATGGACCAAATCATATGGGAATAGTAATCCTAGCTTCATACGTCAGCCACATTGGCCCCAGCCGTAGCATCTTATAACGCTCGGAGTAGCTAAGTTCGAAAGATGAGTTAAAGTGGTCCTATCTGAATGATCGCTGCACATTTTCCAGGCACACGCGGTCACGTTTCCTGCCGCTGGTAAAAATAACCGAGCAGTACTGAAGCACAGGACGAATGCAGCTTAGGTTCACGCATCGTGAATAACTTACAAGTCTGTTTTGCACTTCTTTTTGGTCTGGCCGTTATGAATTCATCTTGCTTACGGATACCTAGATCACGTATGGTTTTATTACATGGCATGGGTTTCCCACTCAGGTAAAATGCATCTGGCGAAAATTCTCACTTGTATGTCAACTGTTATAAACGTCCTAGTTGGTTTCGACTGTCCTAGTCGGAACGGACGAACTCTTTCCTTCGTTGGTTCCCACGCGCTGAGTAGCCTAGACGATTCTTTTTGGAGCGGGTAGTGGTCTTAGCCGGCAGACGAGAACTCGCAACTGATTAGGCAGACGGAACGTACAAAGGCCGCACGACTGTACCGAAACCCTCAGAAAGAAGTCTGACCAATAGTAAGAGTGCTTTACTGACTCAACCAAGACAATCGTGCTTTCTACACCTTCGTTTTTATAGCTCACTAAAAACATTAGTAAATATGTGAACTATAAGGAAAGGCGTGCGTTTGTTGGCACAGGCGTTGCCATGTAGTGGTCCTATCTCCGGCCAGGGATGTGGCGGGTCGATGCTGTTGAGACCTTGGACACATCACAGTTGCTTAGCGTGCTCGGTAGCTAAAGCATTGACATGAACACAGGTCAGGAGGCAGACTGCTGACTTAAGAAGAGTCCGGGAGACACAATGGTGTGACTGGGGCGACTTCAGTGGGAACTATGTGGGTTACGTTGGTCCTATTCTCACTGAGGAAAACTCCGTTGTGATCTGTGCAGCTGAGTGGGCCTTTGGCGGCAGTTTTGGTATTGAGATTTTCGCTCTGAACTGAATTGCGCTGTTCTCAGTTTACCATCATTAACAGGAGCATTGAGCTCAAATGTGCTGCTTGAGCTAGTAAACAATAAGTTTCATTCATGACGTTCCGTATTATCATGGGGTCCCTGCTCATGGGTCTGTCTGGTATTGCGATGCATGATAGTCATTTAGCTTGATCGTCGTTTCTGGCCTTCAGTAGCCTGACCAGGGCTTTAGACTTATTGTCATGTGCCAATGTTCGCCTTTCTTATGCTGCTAGTCTAGTGACGCGAATAGTCTAACTTGTCAAAGAGGTTATCCTGTCTGATACGCAAAGAGAAGTCAGGAGCCTGTCTTATTTCCAACTTACGCAGAAGGCATGCTTCACGCGTTGTTTTCGTGGTAACCTACCTATCCGGTCTTTGTGCGAATGGAACAAGACTATGAAGACAGGGTTAGATACTTATGTAGGCTTCGTCTACTGCAATCTCTGGGTATCTAGTGAGCAAGCATAGCTTTCCGTTTGTTTTTCGCAGCAGTGTAGCAAATGTATCTCAGTTTACATCACTAGAATCCCCACAGGGCTCTGCTAGTAGTCTTGTGCTACAGTGTGGGGCCGGATTGAATGCTGCCAAACTAAGGTACGCGACTGTATGATCACTACTTGGGAAACGAGATAACACATCGACACATGTGAGTGTGTGTCTTAGACACAAATGAAGTGTAAACTATTTTCCTTGATTGGCTTATAAACTACTGGTGTGCGTTCTTGGAAATGAACTTCGGAAACGAAGCTAATCGGTCTTGGTGGTGCTGGATACTCACCGTCAGGCAATAACCACCCTTAGTGCCTATGGTTGCTGTGACAGTGCTCTACGTTTCGTGAAGTCAACTTGAGGTTTATACACCTATATGGGAGCATTTTCAACAAGCTAAACTTTGTCGAATTTTCACCCCATCCTAAAATGTAGCGCATGATGTAGTGTATCGCTTCAACATTTGGACGGTTTTTCTGGAAGATTAGTCGGGGCGCAATCCTGCGTTTCTTTCTCGTGGATTCTTATGAATCACTGAGTTCTTCTTTGCCAGTGATAGCTTGTGAGTATCAGCCCATTGACACCTTTGTTGTGTGTGTGCTTCCACCTTACTCTCAATCGCAGAGTTAGGAAAACCTTAATCTTGTGTCTTGCATCTGCTTTCTGTTCGTGCTTCTGATTCAGATAATTTTTGTTTTCCTCCAGGCACAGCTGCTCTTTAACACAACAAGTATGTTTCCTCTATTTATGCACTTGTGTGTTATCCCCTCTCCTTGTCACCTATCAATAAGCCTTCTTGCAATGATGTGCACTCTGTATCGGTTCCATCAGTCGAGTATTGAATAACTCTAACCCTCTTACGCTCCCATACCAACACTTTTCTAATGCGCTCACCAGTTGCCGTTAGTTTTGTCACGCTCATGGCTATTCTTATGCCAACCCGTGATTTCATTGTTTTTCTTACTGAATTAACTGTTTTGCTCTGCTCTTGTGGCAGATGGACTTCACTGCTTGGATTAGGCGTCTGCCTAATCCTACCGATGCCTACCGATTCAATTTGCTGCCTACCACTCATTACATCCAGCCCACCCACGGCTGGTGGGGGTGATTGCGTGGCACCGTGTACCGCAGAGACTGCCGATGCCCTTCCCTCGCTTGGACTTTGAGAGCCATTTTGCCATAAATACCTGCAAGCGACAATATCACCTTGACTATTATTAACTATTCTGACGGCCAATGATAACAGACCTCGCACTCCATTTTCCGAATCGTCCAGAACATGTGGGGGTCCAATGTTACCCGCCCTTTCACTTTATGTTTTAGCCCACCTGTTCAGTTCCTTCTCTCTTGACAATTCCTCTTGTTTTCCCTGCTTCTACTCGCCACTTCCCACCTCTCCTTGGTTGCTATAAAAATAACTAAATCGTCAGCTGTTCGCCGTGACGGAGCTTCGCTGCCGCGCGACCACCACCAGTCGCACGTGGGCTGACTATACCGCGAGGAGGCCTGCTCCTATACGGTTTCGAACCGGGGTCCTTATGATTGCTAACCAGGCTTGCAGACCACTCGGTCACTGGCCGACCCTTAGTTGCTGTCATCGCAAACAATACCGCGCCCGCGCATGCTAACCTTCACCACCTATGGCGCTGGGGGGACATCACTCTATTTGAAGGGTAATGTGTACAGTACAGTGGTACGTTCGACCCTGCTTTACGGAAGTGAAACCTGATCCATTAGATCCGCGGACTTAAAGAGGCTTGTTACGTCCTACCATTGGTACTTTCGCTGTTTGGCTTATATCTGGTGGGAACACCGTGTGAGCAATTGGCTTGTGCAACGCTTTGTTTAACGTAGCGAACTGCTCAGCACGGTTACTTCACGCACCACGCTCCGAAGGTTGGTCCACGGGTTGCGCATGTCAGACCACTGACTCTCACGGCATGAATTGTTTGCGCGCCGTGGGTGCGGATTGAAGAAGAGGAGGGTTAGCCAAGTGATGACGGTCGAAAGAAATGAAGGCCCTTACTTCGAAGTTGGCCTCGGTTGGGGACCGGAGGACGATGAAAACGTTTGGCTGGATACACTTGTTGACAAGGTAAGGAGCTGACCTCAGTGGCCTTTGTGTTGTGAGTTTCTTTGTCCCTCGCCCTCCCGCTTAACTTTTCCTTCCACGGTCTATTAGGCACATTATAACTTTTTTGCGGCACCATAGCTGGCTGTTAGCTCTCCGCAACGATGTCCCTCCGTTACTGATGACTCAGCGGGCGTTCCTCTCTTGCGTCTTTTTTGTCTTCTGTATTGCGACACGCTAAGGTGTTTTCCGTCTGTAGCTAACATGTATAATGATGCCTGATACCGAAACTTAACTCCGGAAAAGAAGTCGACAAAAATCGTTACTATTTTGGTACCATAGGCATGCTTAATTTTTGTACTATACCCCGCTGTCTTTGTATTTCCACCTGAATTTATCAGTGTCACTGAGGATGGTTTACAAAGCTCTTGGTATCCGAAACAAGGATGCGTTAACTTTTCGACATAACCTTCCATACGTGAACAGTTACCATTGTAGTGTGGTCAGCGTACTGTTCACTGTATGCCACTGCCTCTGTGAGAGGCAGAAATCGTCCTCACCTTGCGGCTACTGCTTGGAACGTTGTTCTCTATCTACATTACTCACGGTCACACAAATTGTGAGTTTTGTGCTTGTTTCTTGTTATCGCTGTAAGCGAATGCAAACAGTGGGTCCCTCAGCAGTAATTAGTTTTTCGATCTGTTTTTCATATGTGGCGTTTAAATTCATTTCGCCTTCTTCTATACTGCTTATTTCGGTCACTCTATCCTCGAGTCGTATGCACACCACTGGGCAAGCTTATTGCACACCGTGCAACTGCACCCACACTTAGCCAAGGCTACGGCCGATGAGAACTTCCTACTTGAAAGTCTTCGTCATGGTAGCTGTCCATTAGTGCTGCCTTCATCCGCTGCGTTTTTCACGGGAACAATATATCCCTTCGTTGATGGAAAGCAAAATTAATCGATTGACTTCTCCCGCCGTTTTTTCCTGATAACTTTAGGGAAACCATTCTTGCAGATGATCAATATGTCACTCCCGAACTTACCACTTGCACTTCTCCAGCTAGTTATTCGCTGATTTACCACGAGATAATGTCCTAAAACTTGGTGTCTTTTTTCATTTTCACTAAAGCAATTCCCACTTTTGACTACAGAATCGAATACATCATAGGTATTTGTTAACCAATACAATTAGAAGACCAAAATCTCTACAAGAACTGCTTTCAGTTACGAATGGTTACACCTGGAACTGTGCTGCTGCTTAATCGGCACTTGTTCCCAACTACTCTTGCTTTCATTTACTTGCTGGAACATCGTTTTTCCACCTATTGTGTTTCCGCCATCTTGTCCATCTGTAGACCCTGACGGCTATTCTCCTACTCCAACTGAGTGCGTGAACCAAGACGCCAGGCCAGTTGACCCCGCTGCCCTCGCTCTGTAATCTGTACAACAGCAAGCCGATCGGCTACAACACATGATCACTTTTTTTCTTCCCGTTGATAGACCAGTAAGTTCATTCCTACTGTCCTTTAAATAGCGTCTGGATGTGCAGTCCTCCTCTATTGTCACCCGGCGTATTCTGGTGGTATACAGTCTTTTCAGCTTGTTTTCGCTGCGGTTCTATGGGCTATCTTGCAAGATGATAAGTGAAAACACGTTTCGGACAACGTTAGCCATTAACGTGAATATGGCCTCTATCACTTGTCCACTTTTGTCTGTTTTACATATGTAGCAGTCTCGGATGTTCTTGGCAATGGAGCTTGCCGGCATCTCGGGACCGTTCGCGACCATCTTACATGGAATATGCTCTGAAATCCTAGTCGATAGCTTTCTCTCACTTTGGCTCACTTGCTTGCCACCACAAGTACATGAAAGAAATAGACACATGAGGCGGTAACTAGAGCGTCTGGCTTGTCAGCGTTGGATTTACATAGCAGCTTCCTTGCTTGGTGCAAAAGCACAAGTTAGGCCGCACAATATGGTTGGCGGCATCCGGTTTCGGATTTGCCTGTCACTGTGGCAAGCCACAGGACGCCTGCGCCTACAGAGGGACCATGGATGGCTTGCGCTGCACCACCCACAGCTCCAACCACACACCCCATATCCAGTGTAAACCCGAAGGAATAAGACCGGGAGGCATGCGGATGGGAGCCACGTTTCATCAACGGAGCCGGCCCACACTCCTTCACAGGCAAACACAAGCACACTGTATTTGGGGAATCAAGCGCACACAAGGCGGTGGCTGGACCGTAGTCCGCTCCACACTGACTGCATGGAACCACTCTTCGAGCCTAACACGGCCACAAGGCCCGTGCACCCCGTCCCCTCCAGCAACGACCAACTGTCTCCTGGAGCCAGTATGAACGAGGTAGTGGGTAATAGACAGGTAGGCACCTTGTCAACATGCACATCAAGCGCAACCACACCGGGGATATCAAACAACAGCCAATCACTTGAGAGAGAGAGAAAGAAAGAAAAAGAGAAAAACTCGATTAACGCATAAGGAAACGGTGACATAAACCTTAATTAAATAGCATACGTAATAAGTTGTTTACAAACAAATCCTAGCTAAGTGCACGAGGTCAGGAAGTATAGTTCACGGAATGCCACGAACACAAAAATGTTATGGAAATCGAATACAATTGGCTGAAGCGATGTGTGCAAGTTAATGGAATAGAGTACTGGTAGACCTTTATATGAGAAAGAAAAGCATTAAGGTAAAGACTGTAAACCCACCACCTGAAATAAAGAGACTTAGCATGCAAGCACGCGGTTAGTAAATCGAATTCAGCGAGCCTACAATCGCTGCGCCGGCTCGCCGTAATTCTCTGCAGGACCCGTCGTCGCTTCTGTAGTGGCCCCAAATGGCACAGCGCATGGCCCACTAGACATTTATATGAGAAAGAAAGGCATTAGGAGAGAACCGAAAACCCACCACCTGAAATAAAGAGACTTAGCATGCAACCATGCGGTTAGTAAATCGAATTCAGCGTGCCTACAAACGCTGCGCCGTTGCTGCCTACGTTCACTGCGGGACCCGTCGTCGCTTCGGCAGTGGTCCCGAGTGACCTCTCTCATGGCTCACTAGGCCTGCCTGACTAAGTCACTCGCGACCGCATGTTCTACAGCACAATGCGCTCTATGTCGATGGAGTACAATTCATCGGTGCTTGCCGCTTCCGCAACTGCCGCTTCTTCTCTGCATGCATGAGGGCTTTCTCCCGCACTTCAGCAACTGCCTTCGTGATTAGATCGCGCCATGCACCACGATCAACCGCCTTCGATTCCCATGATCTGCAACCAAGATTAGAACGTGTGAGGCTCACTTTAATCATGTCCTGGTAACGTAACTTTGGTTTCCCCACGTGCCGCTTCCCAATACTCAGCTGACCGTATAACAGTTGTTTCGGTATCCGCGTCGAATCCATACGGCTCACATGACCGAGCCATCTCAGGTGTCTCAATAAAAGTATGCAGTCCACTGCATACATCCCACTTCGGCGCAACACTTCCGTGTCTGCAACTCTGGCGCCCCAGCCGATCCGCAAAATTCGTCGCAGACACTGCTGATGGAACCGCTCGAGATATGGCACATCCCGCCGGTACATCGTCCACGTTTCACTGCCGTATAGAAGAACGGACAGTACCATGGATTTGTACACCATCAGCTTCGTGCCAATGCTAAGCTGATGGTTGTTCCACACTCGGTACTCAAGCTTCCCGAATGCCGCTGCCGCCTTCGACACGCGATTACGCAACTCAACGTGTAGCTGCTGATCAGTCGACATCACACTCCCAAGGTAGCAGAAGCGGGAGGTGGTTTCCAATACTTCAGCACCGATGCTGATTTGCGGCAATAATGAAGATTGCACCTCCGGCGAAGGCTGAATGAGACAGACAGTTTTGCTTGTGTTGATGGTGAGCCCGAATTTGGCCGCTGTCGAATCCAGAGCACTAGTCATGTGCTGCAACTCATCCGCGCTGTGTGAAAACAACGCACAGTCGTCAGCAAACAGCAACATACGGATAGTTGTCTCACAGACTAGAGTTCTCGCACCGAAACGACGGATGTTCAGCAACCCACCATCAATACGGTGCTCCACACGAACACCGTAAGCACAAGCGGCATCAAAAGCACAACATTGCATGAAGATAGATATTAAACAGGGCAGAAGCTAAGACACAGCCTTGCTTCACACCAGAGACAACTGTAAAGTCATCACAATAACATAGATGATAAAGGAATGCTATTATGCTGCCGAACTTGTGCTTTTGCACCACGCAAAGAGGCTGCTATGTAAATCCAATCTTGACAAGCCAGACCCTCGAGTTACCGCCTCATGTGTCTATTTCTTTCATGTACTTGTGGTGGCAAGCAAGTGAGCCAAAGTGAGAGAAAGCTATCGACTAGGATTTCAGAGCAAATTGCTCGTAAAGTGGTCACGAACGGTCCCAAGGTGCCAGCAAGCTCCACTGCCCAGCCTATCATAAACTGTTCCAAAGTGCAACAATCCCCACGAATCGTTCAGGATAATTTGCCAGCAGAGCAGTGCTCGCATGCTTCAGTTTGCTGAAGCTTAAGCAACTCGGCGCCTGAAACCCAATCTGTGTAAGCAGACTGCGTTGTTGACCAGCGTCGCATTGCCTTTATGAGGTGCTTTGATTGTTTCAAATTTAGCTTTTGTATGACTTTGAACGTCATTTGTTTTTAAACGCAACACCATTTTTCCACGGATTGTATATTAACAGCTGGTGTGAATACCCGAAATATTTGAATTTAGAGTATCCTATTGAAATGTTGTTCCTTCTTGCTATCTTAACATTTGTCAGTGGTAAATCCTGCATGAAATATCAATATCGTTCGATGATGGTTGGATTTTCCTTATCTTAAATGTTAGTAAATGAGTGCAGGCGTTTTCCAATTTATTCTTCACTGCATCCCAGTGATTAATCGAAAAAGTGCCTTCCTTGACGTTAACTTCCATCATTATCATCTAACGATGCAACGCCCTCTTACTTTTTAACTGCGGGTTTTCACTTATCGCACCTCGCTACCGTCAGGACAGAATTCCATCTACCACTTGCTACTCGTATGGCTGAAAGGACGGGTTTAGTAATCGTTTCGCTTTGCATGAAAGCTTAATGGACCACCTGTATTTTGCCAAACGCATTCTCTACGTCGTCATACTGGTAGTGGAATTTTGTCTCTCCAATAGTGTAGCGACCGCAATATTTCATCAGTAGCGTAGTCTTCCAACACAACTGTTCACATCGCGTCACCCAACATCCATTCAACGACACACTACCACGGGTGGATTTTTGTCACGCTCATCGACGACATGTTGGATCTCATGCAGGTAGAAAACACACGTTCGTCATTAACCATAAAACTGCATATGCCTGAGCAGTTTCATGACTTTTCATATATCCCTTATGTATTAATCACACATCAACTACCAGCGAGCCTTCGTACGCGGCAAATCGGTTTTCTCCATTTTCGTCATTGATCCATCTGGATCCACAGGTTGCCACTGCTTCCGCAACTTCAACGATACTCCCAGGTGACCGCTTGCAGGCACCCGTTTGTGCCAATCTCTCGTCTCCCTTTTGAGTCGTACTAGGGATTCACAGAAGCCAACCTGGTATGCAGTATTGTCTGGGCATCAATGTGTGTGTATGCCGAGGTTATTCATTTTAAGTTGTATGTACTGCGGATAACATACACCACTCGGCGGTGCTATAGTTTGTGAGTCACCACGCTTACGGGAACAGCACAAGGCACAGACGTAAATCCTTATCGCTCCGCGCAACTTTCATCGACCATGTGCTGCATGGTCCTAAAGAACGAGCATGACCCTGTGTGTCTTCATGGTTAACTACTTTGTCTGCGTTGACCGCAGTAGTCTTTCACTTCGACACCTACTGTTCGTGCGTCACCGTGGGCGCTTCGTCCCGTTTGTCAACCACGTGTTTTGTATCCGAATTCACACAGTAGCACATTTTCCTCTCACGGAATTTGTACATTATCTGCTGACCAAGTGGTATAGCAAACTGGATCAATCGCACAAGGAAACTTCCGGCTTTGTTGTGCTATCGTTTAAAACGTTGGTGATGTCAGCGGTTTTCCTCATACGCATATGCTTATCCACGTCTGACTTCAACATTCTATCTCGTACAAACGTCGTTTTCCTGTCATGCTTTCTCTTAACCTTATTTTCTTTCACTTTCCCTGCCCATCAGATCTGTTTGACCAACAACTGACACGCGTTAGGCGTCGTCCCAATGTATCATCTATACCGTTATACTGCTGTGGCCGGTCTATACTTTGAATACCTCTACACCCTTCAATACTACACTGCCTATGCAGCACCTATCTATGTTTACATTTCGTGTCATCTCAATTACTTGTTTATTCACAAAGCCTTGACGTCTTCAATCATGCGTCCAATTGTGATACCACATGCAATCATCCTCTTTGATTTGTCTTTTTTATTTTCTGAGATATCAGGACTCTGTAATTTTGCCACGTATAACCAAGGACCACGCTTGCATACAGCACTTGTGCAAACACTGGCTGTGTAACATACTATCGATTACTTTTCATCAATGTGTTTCCCTTCCGTGCTCACCACTCGTTCTTCACCATCTGTTCAGTTCGGTCCTGGCTTTCTCCCTCCTTGCTTTCGAAATACATCCCCTTAAATTGCTTTTTCTGATGATTCAATTCGTTTCTCCATCCATCTTCATAACAGCTTAGTGGGTTTGCTGTTCACTTGCCTTCCTTTTCGGCCACATTCGAATAGCAACACAGCTGCAAATCGCGCACTAAGCGAGCGTGGGCGTTACGCCCGTGCCATGTTCGAAACTGTCTTCATTTGATTGACAGGTAGTGTAGCAACTTGTCCCACAACTTCACACTTGGCTCCCCGGAACGAATGCCATTCGGCTCTCTCAATTGCGCATACACACTTGCTAGCCGAGGTCACTTACCTGTACTTGCTGCTATTTTACCTGGCCATGTAATTGGTAAAGTCCTGATGATATATATATATATATATATATATATATATATATATATATATATATATATTAGACAGGATGGAGTTGTGGAAGACGATGGCTCCCATCCTTTGTGATGTCTACTCCATCGCCTCAGTGAGCTATCTGAGACATCACATCCGTGAGTAGGTGATGGCTGCTGCTGAGCAAACGATCTGGCATGCAAACTGTAATTGGTTTGATGACAACAGTTCGACCTTGGGCGCATTGGTGTCGGTGAAGAATGCGACATTGGATGCGCATGTGAATGACCCTGCCGGTATAGAGAAAAGTAGTCTTTTTCCGAAAACTTCGGCGGCGATTAACTCGAGAACTCTGTCGCGTCAAAAACGTATGGGGGACGCAGAAGGAGAAGCAGCTGGAATGCTACGCCGAGCGCCGCCAACATATGAAATTCTTTGACTGCTTGAAGATGGTGTATGGATCAACATTACAGCCGCTGCGGACGCTGTTGGTTGCTACTTCAAGGCTGCCTGAACTCAGACTGTAGATATAATGCCAATCTTGCTCAAGCATCTGACCGTTTTTTAACACCCTTTCAGAGATTGACTGGCCTGCGTTGCACTGGCTGCTGCAGCAAGACATGAAGATATGTCTTGCCGACACTGGATGAGACGCAAAGAGCACTTGCTCAGTTACAAAAAGCCAAGTGCGCCGGTTCCGACGGGATTCCCCCTGATGTATTAAAACACGGCGGACCCGCGTTGGTAAAGGCGATGCACCACTTGGTGCAAAGTGTGTAGATCGAGGACGAAGTGCCCGCCGAGCTGTAGGATGCCCTTTGCTGCCACTATACAAGGGCTTAGGAAGCAAGCAATGTTGCACGAATTATCGTGTTATCAACTTGCTCAGTTACGTGGGTAAGGGGGTTACACGAATCCTGCTCAACCGCCTCTTCAGTCAGGCCCTTAAACCAAGCGTGACAGAAGAGCATTACGGATTGCGTTCGGGCCGCATCATCATCGATATGATGTTTGCGGCTCGTCAGTTGCAGGAAAAGTGCAGAGAACGACATTAGCCGTTGTACTCGCTGTTTGTTGATTTTACCAAAGCATTTGATGCGGTGAACCGTGAGACATTGTGGCTGGTGTCGGTTAAGTTTGGCTGTCCCAGTACATTTGCAAATTGAATTCAATTGCTACACAGTGGCGGGTGGGCAATGGTGCAGCTGTGTGGACACACCTCGGATGACTTTCTTGTTGTTTCTGGCGTAAACCAAGGCTGTTTCCTAGTCTCTGTCCTGTTTAATATCTTCCTTCATGCAATGTAGTCTTGTACTTTTGATGCTGCATGTGATTATGGTGTCCATGTGAATCGCCGTGTTGATGATGCGTTACTACACATCCGTCATTTCGATGCGAGAACCCTAGTGTCTGAGACAACCATCCGTATGTTGCTGCATGCTGACGACTGCGTTGTTTGCTCCCAGCGCAGATGAGTCGCACCACATGACTTCGGCTATCGGTTCGAGATGGGCTAAAATCGGGTTTCCCTTCAACACTAGCATGCCACTTTGTCGTTTCCAACCTTCTCCAGGAATGCAGCCCGGAGCTCACTTCATATCCAGTTCGCTGATGACGTGTTAGAGACAACGTCGAAATTTTCATACGTTGGTACCCTACTATCAGTCGACGTGCTGAATTCGAGCGAGATACATGTCCGCGTATCGAAGGCGGCCGCTGCGTTTGGCATACTGTGTAGAACAACCATCAGCTCACTGTTTGAACGAAGCTGCTGGTATACAACTCTGGCGTTGTTCGTTTTTCTATATGGCAGCACAACCTGGACGATGTACCGGAAGGATGTCCGTTATCTGTAGCGCTTCCACCAACGGTGCTTGCGTCGTATTCTGCGCATCGGTTGGAGTGACCGAGTTGTAGATACGGTTAACTCCGACGCAGTGGCATGTATGCAGTGAACTGCATACTACTGCTGCAGCACCTGAGGTGGCTGGGACGTAGTAACTGCTTGCATTCCACTCAGATGCTGAAACATCTGCTTTATAACCTATTACGTGCAACGAAGCGGCATGTTGGAAAACCGGATTTGCGTTAGCAGGATATGATCAAGGTGAGTTTATCGCCATCTAATGTTTGTTTTAGATGTTGGGAATCAGTGGTATTTGACCGACGCCAATCGTGTGAGCTGATCAACAGGGCGGTTGCCCAGGTGCAGCAGCAAGCAATATTGCATGCGGCGAAGCGTCGGGTACGGAAGCGACAAGTGTGGATGGAGTCTACCCCATCGACATCGAGCGCATGGTGCTGTAACGCGTGCGATCGCGCGTGCCTGAGCCAAGCACGTCTGGTAAGCCACCATCGTTTGCCATGCGGAGCCAGCATCCAAAAGATAGCGAGTCAGCTGATTATCTGAACTGTATCAGTGCAGTGTTCGTAATTACGCTGCGTCCGCATCCATTCGATTTACTAACCCAGGCCATTGAGGTGGCTGAGGTGGCACGTGTGCTGCATCCTTCTTGCAGTTGCTGTGTGCGTGCGTGTTGAGTTTCTTACACTTAGATTTTGGCTGTTTATTGATGTTCCAAGTGTGGCTGCGCGTGATGTGAATGTTGACAAGGTGCCCACTTGTATATTGTCCCCCCCCTCGCCTATACTGACTTGCGGAACCAGTTTCTCGTTAACTGGGTGGACGGGGTGCACCGTCCTCGTGGTGGTGCTAGGCTCAAAGTGTCGTTCCATACATCCAGTGTGCAACGGGCTATGGCCCAGCCATCGCCTTGTGTATGCTTGCTACGTACGATTCCGTAATTTGACTGACTAAAATATTGCTGCTGTGCATGTTGACGGAGTGTGGGCCGGCTCCGTTGATGAAACGTTGCCCCACTCCGCATGCCTCCCTTCCTTCCGGTTTACACTGTATCTGGAGTATGAGAATGGAGCTGTGGATGGTGCGGTGCAAGTCACCTATGGTCCCTGTGTAGGCGCAGGTGTCCTACGCTTGTCTGGTGGCCATAGTGATAGACAAATGCGGAACCGTAACTATATATATATATATATATATATATATATATATATATATGCCCCATTCTGAGACGGATATCGCATTCATGATGCTTCTTCACCACAGTTGCGCTAAATCAACTTAAACTAGGTCTATTTAATGTGGATAAAATTCATTACATTTTATTTGGTTTGTTCTGTGTACTTGATAATCTTCTCCCAAGTTACATACGTCGCTCATGCAAATTGTGGTAACCTTGCGTAATTTTACCACGTATTTTTTAAATAACTTTCGGACATACTGTACTTATCGCGTATTCACACTTAACCAATTTCTTCCGTATGCTCATTTAGCGAGTATTTATGTCATATGCGTTTACTTTATTCGATATCGGCATTTCGAATGATTGGCTGTTGTTTGACATCCCATGTGTGGCTGCGCTTGGTGTGCATGTTGACAAAGTGCCTACCTGTCTATTACCCACTACCTCGTCCACACTGACTCCAGGAGACAGTTGGTCGTTTCTGGAGGGGACGGGGTGCACGGTCCTTGTGGTCATGCTAGGCTTGAAGAGCGGTCCCATGCACTCAGTGTGGAGCGGACTACAGTCCAGTCACCGCCTTGTGTGCGCTTGATTCCCAAATACAACGTGTTTGTGTTTGCCTGTGAAGGAGTGTGGGCCGGCTCCGTTGATGAAACGTGCCTCCCATCCACATGTCTCCCGGTCTTATTCCTTCGGGTTCACACTGGATATACGGTGTGTGGGTGGTACAGCGCAAGCCACCCATGGTCCCTCTGTAGACGCAGACATCCTGTGGCTGGCCACAGTGACAGGGAAATCCTAAACCAGATGCCGCCAACCATATATATATATATATATATATATATATATATATATATATATATGGCGAGATAGTCCTTGTTGCGCTGAATCTTGTAATGGCGAGATCCTGACAGATGGTCTACCCGCCACTGCTAATGTTATGCTTTGGGATCATGTCCTGGACGCCTTGTGGCGACCGCTGAATGGGAGTTGGGTTATACTCTTCTTCTAGCGTGAGTCGGTTGACTGACTCATGGCGCTCGGCCCGCTGCCTTTCGGGTGTATACTTTATCGAAGGCTTTGGCTGAGGACCCGAGTTGTTCTGTCTGGTGCGCACGCCCTGGCAATATCCTAATCCAACCCCCAACCATGAATTATTGCACCAATACTAATAAATCCATGCTGCAGCGGCCGTCGCGCAATGGTCTCAGGAAAAGCGTCGCCTTATCTGCTGCATACAGCGGGGTGGATAAGCGAAAACATGATACTGCTGTCGCCTCTCTTCTTCCCCTGCACATACTCTCCCCGTGCCCGTTTCACCTAACCCACTACTTTCTCCAATCCAGGAGCTCACCTCCTATATGGTTGCCCGCTAATGCAATCGTATGCCTCCGCGCAGAGCGCTCAACACTGGGTGCTGGAAAGTGCGCACTTTACACGACCGGCATACGAGTGAGCGTTCCAAACGACGCACTGCACTAGACACAATGGGACTGGCGTGCTACAACATCGATATTGTGGCGCTCAGCAAGACCCATACTGGCTGAGCAAAGTAAGTTACATGAAGCTGGTGCTGGCTATACGTTCTGCTAGGTAGGTAGCGCCACCTCAGCACCACGTGAACATATCGTCGGCTTTGCAGTATCCGATCGCCT